AACGGGGTCCAACCAGTATCGAGATCCCACCGGGCCCCCCCACACACACGCGCGCAATTTTTTTCTCTCCTATTTGCTGCAAATATTTGAACACAGCATTACTGGATAAATGAGTTTGTCCTTGTCTAATTAATGGGGAGATAATTATAGGCAAACCGTCTTCATTTGTCTGATCATATGTTAATGATTATTTAAAATTGAAATTTGGCGGGGACTTCTTCGCTTTGTAAATTATGGATTTAAGAATGTTTACAAGAGTTTGAAGGCGATACGCAGTAGCTAAGATTGGTGATTAAATTATGTTTGTTAGTTGTTAGGCGGGCTGCTAGCCTTTTTAATTGTGGTGTCGATGTCAACAAATTAATTCTCTTAGGACTTCGTCCTCGAGCGATCAGCATCTATAGCATTCTCTGGGTATAGACCAATCCCAATGATTTGAGAGTCATTCGTTGGCGGCTTGCGGTGAAGTGCTTGGCCCTAATTCGTTGTCCGTACTTGGGAGACAATATTGACAGAAAAGGTAATTAGACGCAGATTGTAAAAGCGATCTGTTTATGATTATGTCCTATGAAATGTCTCTCAGCCAGCACGCTCTAACCCCACGGACTTACCAAGGGGAAACAATTGATTGGAGAGCACTTTTTCATCCTCTTTTTTTTTTTTTTTTTTTACACAGATATCTTCGACTTTGGAAAACGCTCTCGCAAATGTTTTCTGAACCTACAGTACATTAACCTAGGCATAAACATAAATATTTAGACCTGGAGTAGAAAATGTCATTAAAGAATTCTGAACAACATCTAGTGGAATTTTTTTTAATTTCCTGGTCTAGAATCTTTTTTTTTTTTTTTTCTCTTTAGATGGCCAATTAGTTTTGATGGTTTGAATCGGACCAACTAAACAGGGATATAGTATGTTGTGCTGGTCTTTGGGTGCGCCCGGTTTTGGTAGTTAGTCAGCTCTCTTTATTTCCTGGCATGTTGCGGTGACTTGGCATACATTGTAAGGTTAGCCTGACTGCATGAGGCCCGAGCAAGGTGTTTAACATCAGGAACTGTGAGTTATACTGTTCTAAGATCTTCATTGCTCAGCTGCATGAAGTAGTGAATTGCAATCGGATGTAATCACGGCATTTCTTTTATTTTGCTGGGTTAAGCTGTGACGGCTGCAGACGGATGGTGTAGCGCCGATTCAATGGAAGTCACTTTTGGCTCATATTTACTGCAGATGACACCACAAGGTGTGCAGATTTCCTCACGTGATAGGCCTGGGTATGTACTCAGTTCAAAACATAGCCTGCATGGAAGGCTCATTTAAAAGCTGAGCCATCTGAGCGTATAGATTGTAGGTCTAGATATTCGCTATAAGAAAGGGATTGGCTCTGGGGCTGTATGTGGCTCTTTGAAGGAATAGACGAGTCCCTGATGTGTTAACAATCGCTGATGTCATGCGGCCCCCAAAATATTTCCGTAGCAGATATTTTTCACTAGTCTCTTGACTAAAAATAGGTCTCTTCACTCAGAATACATCTCTTCAATCGAAATAAGTCTCGTCATTCGAAATAGGTCTCTTCACTCGAAATTGGTCTCTTCTCTCGAAATATTATGTCAATTTACTCTATATGGGTCTCTTTACTCTATATAGGTCTCTTTACTCTGTATAGGTCTCTTTGCTATATATATGTCTCTTTACTCATACAGTTCTCTTAACTCTATATAGGTCTCTTTACTCTGTATAGGTCTCTTTACTCTATATAGGTCTCTTTACTCTATGCAGGTCTCTTTACTCTATAAAGGTCTCTTTACTCTATATAGGTCTTTTTACTCTATATAATATAGGTCTCCACTGGAAATGAGTAGGGCGATCCTGCACTAGCTTAACAAAAATGTGAAACTCCAAAAGTTGTAAGACAAAGGAATTCTGTAACAGTACGGAAACTATTTAGTTGTGCATACAGGGTGCGTTGAAAATGTGTGTGTAATTAATCTTTGATCAACGATCTTTTTGATTGGTAATTGGGTAGCAAACCAACAACAACAACAACAAAAATGGTAAGTAATAAAAATTCAACTCTCCAGTCAGGAATGCTTGACTCTGATACGGCGGGGTTACGTGGGTTAGTCAGATGTTTATTTGTATGAAATCTGGCCAACAACAGTGACCATACCGTGACCGTATGGCGCCAACTCCCCAAAATTTGCGCACCAAACAAGTTTTTTTTTTGAAATGCTGGTATTTTCACAAATATCCCTCCCGTCGGTAGTACCATAGTAAGTGCTGGTATGTATTTAAATTAAATATTATGTAAAAAAAAGTTCATCTCTATGAGCAAACTTCGCAGCTTCCATCAACCATCCGTACTTCTTAAATGCCGTAAAAACTTAGGGGTCTCTGTAAAACTGACAGATTTCCTGAAAGCCTTTTAGAGCGAAACGAAAAATGGAATTCTCAGGAATTTATTATTTCAATCTCTCTTATTTTTTTCATATTTGTATAAATGAGAAATATAAGTGTATACATTTGGGAGTACGCATGCCTGTGTGTAAAGTGTGGGTGTGTGAATACGCGCGCGTGAGCTGTTTTGTTTCGTCTTTTTCGTTTTTTCTTCTCCCACACCATGTGTTTTTATACTTCCTATTGCTTCTATCTCCTCCACATTTCACATTTAAACAGCTGTCAGTGGATTCACTGAAAGTGTCTTACAATAGTGGGTTCTGTTTTACTTCTTAAAATTAATTTAATTGATACATTTTGAAAAGTTGTTTTGGTCTACTTTATCATATGATATTTTCAGCACAATGTTTTGTTTAGCTCAGTTGTACTTGAATCGTCTGGATGAGAAAATTAATCAGTGTTTCTTTTTATGCTTTGTCCTTCTAGGAGTCAAGCCTGTTCCTATGTCCAGTCCACGGAGCCCGGCATTAAAAAAAAAATATTCAAAAATGAAATTTCTTTTAAATAAATTAAGAGAACAAGCTATTGTAAAAATTGGTATTCACACAAGCTAATTTAGACTTAACAGATTTTCGAAGGTGTTTTAAAGTGATGTTTTGTTTCACTATTTATTCCTCCTAAATTATCTTACGATTACATTTCAATAAAAATATTTTGAGAGAAATTTTGAAGTAGATTGCACATAAAATATCTTTCGCGTAAACTTAAAGTAAATAAGCGGATAGTCTAAGACAATAAAATTCAACGAATAAATTTGCAAGTTCCATCTGTGACCGTTTCTGTTCATCAATACTCATATTATGACATTGTCGATTTTTTTCTTTCCAATCTGTGGAAGTCATCCGTTGCGTCTTAACAATGTCAATCTCTGACCCTGCATGGAAGGCACCTGTGGTATCATGAGACGACCCATCGGCTCACTTGTTTTCTCTCTCCTCCTGGTGTCATCAGCTTATCGCCTGAAGACGATTCACCAAACGATGAGACATGTTCCAGGTCATTGTTTTTACTCCACGTGTCGGGTGTCCGTGCACGTCCAGGTGGATGTGTCCATTGACCGAGTCGGTGTCATCATATTTGTCCAGATCCATTCTCTCGATGACCGTTCATATTATAAAATTGTTTTGCAATTTTCTGTTAGGACTAGGTAAATATTATATGCATAATAATAATTCAAATTTTTTAAAATGATATTTTCAATCGCTTTTAACCATTTGTAAAGGAAGGCGGTTAAATAGATGCTACAGTTTAAAATAAAATATATTTTTTCTATTTTAAAATTAAACAAATTATTTTAATAATTGCAAAATTGTTACGCTTCTCCTTTCTGCCCAGTAACATCCATATTTACACATGTAGGCTTACCAAAATATTTAAGGGTAATACTTGGGGCCTATGGGAGTTGGTTATCAACAGTGGCGTACCTTGGTAGACAAAAGGGAGACCACCCCGGTGCCACCCTTGTTATGGTTTATACATAACATGTAATAGTAGCGGGTGTTGGTGACTGTTAGCATGTGTTGGGGACTGTTAGCGTGTGGTGGGGACTGTTAGTGTGTGTTGGGGACTGTAGCATTGCGTGTTGGGGACTATTAGCGTGTGTTGGGGAGGTTAGCGTGTGTTGGGGACGGTTAGCGTGTGTTGGAGACGGTTAGCGTGTGTTGGGGACGGTTAGCGTGTGTCGGGGACGGTTAGCGTGTGTTGGAGACTGTTAGCGTGTGTTGGGGTCGGTTAGCATGTGTTGGGGTCAGTTAGCGTGTGTTGGGGACTGTTAGCGTGTGTTGGGGACTGTTAGCGTGTGTTGGGGACTGTTGGAAAAAAACAACTCACATAGTCTGAATTTTATTCTTCACAAAATAGCTTGAAGAGACGTTCACATTTGCCATTCACTTTAATAACATTGATACACTTTATAAATGAATTTAGTACTTCATTTAGAACCGGCGAAATATTTTTAGCTCCTGAGTTTTTCCTATGAATAACACAATTCACAAGTAGCAGTTCTGGATTCTCATCTTTCATCAATTTTAAGCAGCCATTTTTCTTGCCCATCAGATTAGGAGCATCATTCGCTGCACAAGATATCATATTTTTCATTGGTATATTATTAACTTATTAAAATCTAAATAATTTTTAGGTGATATTATGATATAGATTTCTTGCGGAAGTGGTGGTTTCCAATGATTGCAGAGCAACATTTCTTCTGGAAAATACCCTTTATCAAAACATCTTACGTAAGTTAACAATACAGCCTCACTGTCTCTCAAAGTTGATTCAACCATATGCACTGAGAATTTTATTTTCAGCTTTTCAACAAGTTGTATTTCAATATCTTCACTCATTTCGTCTCTAACAGTATTGTTACCGAGTAGCATAGCGTTCACGTCTTTGTCATCTTTTTCCTGAACCGTTTTAAGAAATGCTGATATTTGATGGTTTGATTAAAATCTCTCCTTTAGTATGATTTTTCCCAGATTTATCGATGATTATGGGAATTTCCTAATTAGCCCCAAGAGTACGATTGACAGTTGCAGTAAATAGAGGCTTTAACGCTGCTCTTTTTTTTTTTCAAAATACAAGTCAAATCATAGTTGGTTTTCAACTTCTAGACAGCTCATTCTCCAATTACCCCCCTAAACAATCAAATTGCCCCCCCCCTGTGGGGCGTGGGCCCCACGTTGGAAAACACCGTTTTGCACAATTAACCATTGACCCTTTGATAACAGTCCATAATGTCCACTTGCCGAAATGACCTGCCCCAATAACTTCCCCCAATCCCAAGATCCTGCATTTAGAACCGATGTTCATTGTAAGCGAAGGGGTAGGTTGGTGTTTTTATTTATCACCTTTTCTTATTTCTGAAAAAGGAACGCACCGAAACAATGAACGTGTCGACAGGAAGCGTTTGTCAGAGAACAAGCAACAGAAAAAAAGCAGAACCAAATTAAAAAAAAATTGAACTTAGCTGAAAAGTAGTATCCGAAATATAGTATATAGGGCAGCAAAAGCCGCATACCGGAACCTTAACTATGTGTCATGAACTCGGGTGACCTTTCGGTTCAGCACGGCCAGACGATGAACCGACCGAAAGATTGGGTCACATGTTTCTCCCACAAAATTATGCTACTAACTTACGCTCAAACAAGATGGAAATGAGATTAGAAATAATTCTTTTACAACAAATGCGTTGGCTGAGTTACAAAAAAAAAATGAGTTGGCTCAGGTACAAAAACAATGAGTTGGCTGAGGTACCAAAACAATGAGCTGGCTCAGGTAAAAAAACAATGAGTTGGCTGATTTACAAAAATAATGTTGTGGCTGGTGTACAAAAACAATGAGTTGGCTGAGGTACAAAAAACAATGAGTTGGCTGGGGTACAAAAACAATGAGTTGGCTGCTGCACAAAAACAATGAGTTGGTTCAGGTACAAAAACAATGAGTTGGCTGCTGCACAAAAACAATGAGTTGGCTGCTGCACAAAAACAATGAGTTGGTTCAGGTACAAAAACAATGAGTTGGCTCAGGTACAAAAACAATGAGTTGGCTGCTGCACAAAAACAATGAGTTGGTTCAGGTACAAAAACAATGAGTTGGCTGCTGTACAAAAACAATGAGTTGGCTGCTGCACAAAAACAATGAGTTGGCTCAGGCACAAAAACAATGAGTTGGCTCAGGTACAAAAACAATGAGTTGGCTGCTGCACAAAAACAATGAGTTGGTTCAGGTACAAAAACAATGAGTTGGCTGGGGTACAAAAACAATGAGTTGGCTGCTGCACAAAAACAATGAGTTGGTTCAGGTACAAAAACAATGAGTTGGCTGGGGTACAAAAACAATGAGTTGGCTGCTGCACAAAAACAATGAGTTGGTTCAGGTACAAAAACAATGAGTTGGCTGGGGTACAAAAACAATGAGTTGGCTGCTGCACAAAAACAATGAGTTGGTTCAGGTACAAAAACAATGAGTTGGCTGGGGTACAAAAACAATGAGTTGGCTGCTGCACAAAAACAATGAGTTGGTTCAGGTACAAAAACAATGAGTTGGCTGGGGTACAAAAACAATGAGTTGGCTGCTGCACAAAAACAATGAGTTGGTTCAGGTACAAAAACAATGAGTTGGCTGGGGTACAAAAACAATGAGTTGGCTGCTGCACAAAAACAATGAGTTGGTTCAGGTACAAAAACAATGAGTTGGCTGCTGCACAAAAACAATGAGTTGGCTGCTGCACAAAAACAATGAGTTGGTTCAGGTACAAAAACAATGAGTTGGCTGGGGTACAAAAACAATGAGTTGGTTCAGGTACAAAAACAATGAGTTGGCTGCTGCACAAAAACAATGAGTTGGCTGAGGTACAAAAAACAATGAGTTGGCTGGGGTACAAAAACAATGAGTTGGTTCAGGTACAAAAACAATGAGTTGGCTGGGGTACAAAAACAATAAGTTGGCTGCTGCACAAAAACAATGAGTTGGTTCAGGTACAAAAACAATGAGTTGGCTGGGGTACACAAACAATGAGTTGGCCGCTGCACAAAAACAATGAGTTGGTTCAGGTACAAAAACAATGAGTTGGCTGGGGTACAAAAACAATGAGTTGGCTGCTGCACAAAAACAATGAGTTGGCTGCTGCACAAAAACAATGAGTTGGTTCAGGTACAAAAACAATGAGTTGGCTGCTGCACAAAAACAATGAGTTGGTTCAGGTACAAAAACAATGAGTTGGCTCATGTAAAAAAAATGTTTTTGAAGTAGATATGAAGTCAGAAAAGGAAGCTAGCTGGAGAGCCATCCTCTCATACAAAGTCTCCACTGTCATAAAGTTTGACCCCCACCTCTAAACAGGGAAGGTCCCCTTCACGAAGTTGTTCTGTTTCAAAAGTAAGAGATTCAACACCATACAGGGCTAGCGTTTTCGCGATGTGGCCTTGACCCCCTTAGCTGTATGAAAGCATTGAAATCGGCAGACAGTTGTAATCAGAGTCTCATGGGCAAAGGTCTAAAATCTTCTTCTATATATTAAGGGCTCATTATCAAAGTATTGATCATTCTGGCTTCTGTAGGCCCGAAAAAAATTGTTCCACGCGGTCCCTGTCAATGAATTACACACCACAACACGATTATATATAGGATAACCAAGAAGTCTGCAGCCTTTCAGAAGTGGATGAAAATAGATTTAAAATAGTTTCATTCTCTAAAAAAAAAAAAAAAAAAAAAAAACCAACCTTTCAAGGATTTTTTTAAAAAAA